TTATTTGACAGAGACAGAGACAGTGAGAGCAGGAACACAAGCAGGGGGAGTGGGAGAGGGAGAAGCAGGCTTCCCGCTGAGCCGGGAGCCCGATGCAGGACTCGATCCCAGGACCCTGGGATCATGACCTGAGCCGAAGGCAGTCGCTCAACCAACTGAGCCACCCAGGCGCCCGATCTGGTCTACATTCTTAAAAGTTCATTCTGGCTACTAAGCAGACAGTGGACTTTATGGGGAAAAAAAATGAAAGTAGGAAAGCCAGTTAGGAGGCTGTGATGATGGGCCAGGTGAGAGGTGATGGTCGTGGGGCTCACGAGAGTGATGCTGGTGACAAGCTGAGGTTAGGATGTTCCCTCTCACCACTCCTATTCAACATCACAGTGGGAGTCCTAGCTAGTGCAATAAGAAAAGGAAATAAATGGTGTACATATTGAGAAGGAAGAAATAAAACTGTTTCTGTTCACAAACGATACGCTTATCTATGTAGAAAATCCCAAAGAATCAACAAAAAATTCTTAGAACTAATAAGCAATTATAACAAGGTTACAGGATACAAGGTTAATATACGAAAGCCAGGGGCACCTGGGTGGCTCAGTCGTTGGGCGTCTGCCTTCGGCTCGGGTCATGATCCCGGAGTCCTGGGATCAGGCCCCACATCGGGCTCTCTGCTCAGTGGGAGGCCTCCTTCTCCCTCTCCTACCTGCCCTGCTTGTGTTCCTGCTCTTGCTATCTCTCTGTCAAATAAATAAATTTTTAAAAAACACCTTAAAAAAATATATACAAAAGCCAATTGCTTTCCTATATACTGGCAATGAACAATCAGAATCGGAAATTTAGAACACAATGCCATTTATAATAGCACCCCAGAAATGAGAAGCTTAGGCATAAATCTAACAGAACATGTACTTGATCTATATGCAGAAAACCACAAAACTCTGATGAAGGATATCGAAGAATATCTAAATAAACTGAGAGAGGTTCTGTGTTGATGGACTGGAAAACTCAACATTGTTAAGATGCTTGACCTATAGATTCAATGCAATCCCAATAAAAATCTTCCATAGATGTCCAACCAATCTTTGACAAAGTAGTAAAGACAATTCAATGGAGAAAGTCTTGTTGATAAATTGTTCTGAACAATTGAACATTCATATGCAAAAAAAAATGAATCTAGACATTACACCTTTTACAAAACACTTAGTCAAAATGGATCATAGCCCTAAATATAAAATGAAATACTATAAAAGTTTTAGAAGGAAATAGAAAAAAAACCTATGTGACCTTGTGTTTTGGTGATGATTTATTAAATACAACACAAAAAGCACAACACATGAAAGAAAATACTGATTAAGTTAGACCTTATTAAAATTAAAAACTTGTGCTCTATGAAAGGTACCATTAAGAGAATGGAAAGACAAGCCACAGATTGGGAGAAAATTTTTATAAGATATACATCTGATAAAGGACATCTATCCAAGAGAACTCTAAAAATTCAACAATACGATATGTAAAGATACTCAACATTATTTATCCTTAGGGAATTGCAAATTAAAACAAGAAGATATCACAGCAACCTATTAGAATGGCTAATATAAAAATTTTTTAAAAACTAACAATACTAAATGCCAGTGAGGACAGACAACAACAGAAACTCTCATGCATTGTTGGTGGGAATGCAAAATGGTACGGTCCCTTTGGAAGGCAGTTTGGCAGTTTCTTAACAAAGCTAAATAAACATAGTCATACCACACATTTGGGCAATCAGGCTTCTAGGTATTTACCCAACTGATTTAAAAACTTGCATGCAAATGTTTACAGCAGCTTTACTCATAATCATCAAAAGCTGGAAGTAACCAAAATGTCCTTCAATAAGCAAGGGGATAAACTGGCATATTCATACATTGGAATATTATTCAGCAATAAAAAGAAATGAGATACTAAGCAATAAAAAGATATGGAGGCAGCTTAAATGTGTATTACTGATCTTCACAACTGCGTGCGGCAGCTCTGACAGCTTAAAAAAGGGCATTGGTGGTGGAGGTGGACAAGGAGACAAGTTTGCGAAACATTTAGGAAGTAAAAAATGTCACGACTCAGTGATGAAATGTATTTGGGGAGGGCGTATAGGACAGAAAAGTGTCAAGGATTACTCCAACATGGTAAATTGAGAGTTCCTGGAAGAGAACCTGATTTTAGGGGGATGTTGTGAGTTCAGTTTTAGAGGCGTCGGGTCTGAGCAGCTTTGGAGACATCATCCAGTTAAGTTGGATATACGGATCTCTGGCTCAGAGGATAAATGTGGCTAGAGAAATAAATGTGGGAATCGTGTACATGGACAATCACTGAAGCCACAGACATTCATAATATGCTTAGGGTGAAATTAGACATGAGAAGGAAAGAACCATAAGGAACTCAAACACTTAGAAGCCAGGTAGAAGAAGGGGAATTAACAAAAGAGACAGAAAGGGAGGAGCCAGAGAGATGGAAGATGAACCAGGCGAGTGTGTGTCAGCAAAGTCAAGAGACCAAAATGTTTGGATGGGAAGGGCACCATCAAAAATACCCATGGACACTAAGAAGTAAAGTCAGACAAGAACTGAAAATGTTCTTTGGATGGCCTGCTCATGATCTTGCCTATTTTTATTGAAGTGCTCATTATTTTCTTATTTAAGAGCATTTTACTTATTAAAAATATCAATCCTTTGCCTGCCATGTATGTTAGAAATATTTTTCCCAGTTATCACTGGTCTTGTAACTGTGTTTCTAATTTTCTGAGTTGTGTTGTTTTGTTTTACATGTAGTAATTTCACGTGTTTAGACAGATTTACCAATTATTTTCTTTGTGATTTACTCTTTTGCTTTCTTGCTTAGACTCACTGACATTTTCTTATAGCTTTTTTAATATAAAATTTCATTTCTTTACATTTAACTCTAATTGTTCTGGAATATATTCTGGTATAATGGTTCAGGTGACTTAACTTTACCAAATAATGAACCATTATCACAGCACTATATATTCCATGATCCTCCTTATCTGAAAAGCTTCTATCACTTTTTATTTATTTATTTATTTATTTATTTATTTATTTGAGGGGGAGAGAGAGAGCGAGCATGAGCCAGGGGAGGGGCCAAGGGTAAAGTAGGCTCCCCACCGAGCAGGGAGCCCAACGTAGGGCTCAATCCCAGGACCCCGGGGATCATGAGCTGATCCCAAGGCAGACGCTTAACCAACTGAGCCACCCAGGCGCCCCTAATTTTTTATATTTATAGCTGAGTCTATACCTGAGCTTTCTATTTCATTCCACTGAGCTATTTTTGCTCACAGTAGTATTTTTTAAATTATTATAGCTTCATAACATGTTTAAATAAGTTGATATTCAAATTGTTCTCACTATTTTAAACTCTTACTCTCAGATATTTTTTTCTCCAAGAACTTTAAAATCATTTTGAAAATTTAGAAATGTTTTAATCCCACTGGGATTTCATTTAGAATTGTTTTATATACATAAGTCAATTGTGGAAGAACTGATAGCTTTACAACCTTGAGTTGCCCCATCCAAGAATATGGTATTTCCGCCTATATACTAGAATTTTATTTTCTATAATTCTAAAGCTGTTTTATAAAAATAAAGATCCTACACATTTCTTGTTATTTATTCTTAGATATTTCATATTTTCCGTGGCCATTGAAAATTGCATCTTTTGTTCTTTTAATTTTTCTGTAGAGCTATTTTTAAAATTGTTTTTAATAGGGCTCCTGGGTGGCTCCGTCGGTCTTCAGCTCAGGTCATGATCCTGGGATCCTGGGATTAAGCCCTGAGTTGGGCTCCCTGCTCTGCAGGTAGCCTGCTTCTCCCTCTCCCTCTGCCCCTCTCCCTGCTTATTCTCTCTCTCCCTCTCTCTCTCTGTCTGTCAAATAAATAAATAAAATCTTTAAAAGTTTTTTTAAATAAAATTGTTTTTAATAAATCATTTTGTTCCATTTATCTAAAATATTTAGAAGTTTCCAAAGGTATCAAGGGCAAAACATCATATGTTAGTTATGAAAAGCTGATACTGTCTCATTTACTACAACCTTCAGACAAGATCCTGTACTGTAATGCATTTACCCTTTGCTCTAGTAAGAAAGCCTGCCCCTTAAAAGCAAAATGATTCTCCCCAACCCACCACATCTGCCACCTGGTGGGTAGCCAGTCATCCATCAAGATGGAGCCATGCTGGGACCCATCCTTCTGCCACATTTGTTTATAGTCTGTCTCTTCTGGTGTTTGACTTAGTCTAAAAATGCAAGTGCAACCAGAAATGGATTTTCTTCACTTTGATGTGACCTAAGACTCCAGTCAAAACCAAGCTTATCATGTCATAGATAATCTATAAAAATTGGCCCATCCCCACCGAAGTTGTCCTGTAGGCTCAAAGCCTCCCTACTGGCCGTCATCCAGAGATGTAACTTGCCCACATGCATCCCGCCAGGAGGGGCAAACCCGGGCGGCAAGTGGACAGGCAGGAAGCACCTGGGGAGAAGCGATTTCCAGACACAGAACTGAGCATCTTTTCCACCAACCTAACAAGTTAGGGTTCTGGTTCTCATCACAGCCACCAGGGGGCGCCAAACCACAGAGTCCGGCAGCTGGCGCCCTAAGCTGGGCGGGGCGTGCATTCGGGTCCTGGGTCCTGAGCTGGAGCACGGCCTCCTGGAGCAGGAAGAGACCTCACACACTCCTCCCCTCCCCCGCCCACTCCCCCCGGCTGATAAGCCTGCGCAGGCTCTCTTGTACTTGTACTGGACTTGCTCAGATCTTCAGGGTCGTCACTCTCCCCGACTCACGGTCCTCAAACATGCTGTCCCCTCAGCCCTTTGTCCCCTGAGCTCTCACTCATCCTCCAAGTCTCAGATGAAATGTCACTTAGTCAAGGTCCCGCTCCTTCAGGCTGAACTTCTCAGGAGTGTCTGTGTTACGCTCCACCATCTGCTCCAACAAGGCAGGAACCCTGTCTGTCCTGTGGGCCGTGGCACCCCAGGCATCTGGCACCAGTCACTCGGCAAATGCCGCTGAACTGATTCAGGGTATTAGTGGTAAACATTACAAGCCCACCCCCCCGCCCAGACCTCTTTATGAGAAGGGAGGGCAGGGCTGAATTGGTAAAGCAACCCCTGTGACTGCAGACGATAAAACAGGATTTCTCGAGAACCCCTCTGAAAGAACATTCTAGTTTAAGGGCCTTGTCTCCGCAGCACCTTAGGAGGACCCATTGTCTCTGGGCTGTGTGTGGCTTACATAAGCACGGTAGGGAAAACAATGTTTGGAGGGCCCGGGGGACCCAGACAGCCAGCCAGACCACTGGAATGCCTCCTGGGACTATTATACAGGATTCCTGCTATAATTAAACCTGTTCCAATGAATCTTCTACTGCTTTGGTGACAAGTCGCTGGTCTTGTGACTTCTACATTCAGCAATCCAAAAGGGGGAAAAGTGAACCTACACAGTCCCGGAGGGACTTCAGGAAGCCCCCCACAATCCCCGCCAAATGGCCATGGGCTGACTCTGCCAGCCAAGGTGGAGATTAAGACATGAAGGCAGACAGCAGCAACGTGCAGGGTGACTTGATCACAGCTTTCCTTTATGAAGACTGATCAGACAGAGGGCATGAGGGTCTGGAGGCCCAGACAGAGAGGATGTGAGAGGCTGGATGGAAGTAAAATCTACGGAACTGGGCTGTGACAGGATGTGAGGGGTGAGGGGTGAGGAAGATGGAAGGTGTCAAAGGCAGTGATGGAGGCCAGGACTCCCTGCTAAGGAGCCCCCCAGGGCCCAGAGTGAGCCGAGACCAACCAGCAGATGATCATACAAACAGCATGTTTGCAGTATCGCAGAGAGCCGTACCGATTATCCAGCCTAATTCAAAGGGACACATTCTGAATTAGGCTCATTTACATCCAGAAAATCCTCACACACTGAAATGTTAGGTGATTTCCTCCCACTGTCAACCCCTAGCCCCCAGCCCTTTCCATCACCATAACAACCACGTTATGACAAGCAGCATGGCATCATCAGGAAGGACACTCACTCCCACCCAGAGATCTCAACTTCTGTGGGTTAGCTGCCAGCTTCCTATGACACATAGTGCTCTCCCCGCACCATCTCCCACCCCCTATCTCCTTCCCACGCCCTACATCCCTAAGCACTGATACAATTCCAGATGCATCCTGGCTTTATTTAACACACTGGAATCCTCAGAGTATCGCTTGGGTCCTACCACTTGGAGGATTAGTGAATTGGAGAAATTCCAGAATTACATAATTCATACATGGTAGTAAGAATATCGACAGGGTGCTTGGGGGCGCTCAGTCAGATGCTTAACTAAGCATCTGACTCTTGATTTTGGCTCAGGTCACAATCTCAGGGTCAAGAGACTGAGCCCTGCATCAGGCTCTGTGCTCAGTGTGGAGTCAGCTTGAGATTCTCTCTCCTTTGCCCTCTGCCCCTCCCTCTACCTGTGTGCTCTCTCTCTCTCTCGCTATCTCTCAAGTAAATAAATAAATATTTTTTTTAAAAAAGAATACAGGTAAAGGCTACATGGCTAAGGACCCAAAGGGATGCAAGAACAACATAGCCCAAATCCATCCCTAACTATCTGGGACATCTTGGGCAACTTAACTTCACCCCTCTGAGACTCAGTTTCCTTAGTTTCAACCAAGATATTAGTCGTACTACAGAGATTTTATTAAAATTAAACAAAATACATATCAAGTATTTAACTTAGAGCCTGGCACATGACAAATGCTCAGAATCTGTTCTTATGATCACTAGGTGGTAAAACCATGGGAGCGAGGCTTCAGTTTTGAACTAGTTTTGAATGAGTTGGCCTCGTTCACCGATATATCAGCAGCGCCCAGTGAGTCCAGGGCCCAGGGAAGGTTGCACAGCTACTATTTGTTGAAAGAATGAATGAATGTTATTACTGTTTAAGAAGCCAGGAAATACAGGGAGAAAGAGACGCAGGCAAGGGAGCCTACTATGGAGAACAAAGGGAAGAAATACTGACCAGAGTGCTGTCCAAATCCAAGCCATTAGGCAGCACGTCGAAGGACAGCTGTCCCAACTTAGATGGGGGCCATCCTTGACAATAATTGCGTGTCTCCAGGATGCAGTGAGGGGCCCTGGGGGGCGGGGGGAGTTAGGGGCGCTGTGAGCAGACAGAGGGAGCACAGAAAGCAGCACAAGTGCGGAGGGAACATCTGAAATGATTCAGGGCTTGCATCTGTTTCATTTGAACTGTCAGCTGGTCACTCAGGAAAGCCGTCGATGGAGCAACAACAGTGCCCGTGGCCCTCGGGAAGCGGGGCACATATGCAGATGCTCCAAAAGGAGGTCAAGGCTGGAACTACAGAAGGCGGAGAAGATGCTAGGAGTGCGGTTGAGGCCATGAGAAAATAGAGAGAGGAAGAATGCAAGGGACGGAGCCTCAGAAAACAGCCACAGCAAGAGACAAAAAGGAACTATCTCAAAACTAACGCTTTTCCGGGGCACCTGGGGGGCTCAGTCATTAGGCGTCTGCCTTTGGCTCAGGTCGTGGTCCCGGGGTCCTGGGATGGAGCCCTGCATCGGGCTCCCTGCTCGGCGGGAGGCCTGCTTCTCCCTCTCCCGCTCCCCCTGCTTGTGTTCCCTCTCTCGCTGTGTCTCTCTCTGTCAAATGAATAAATAAAATATTTTTTAAAAAAAAAAACCTAACACTTTTTCTCCATTTCCTATCTTCGGAAACTGTTGGCTTAAGTTGTAGGTAGGAGTACTCAGAGAAGTCTGCTGGAATGACCAGAATTCCATGGGGAAAGAGGAGAACAGTAACTCTTGGCCATGTTACATCCCAGCAAAACGGACTAATGCACCACAGCGACTCATTGTACCTGAGAGGGTATGTCTCTTCTTCACTTTATGGCACTTATCGGCTTTAATCTTGGCCACCGTGAATAAATAGGCCCCAGCAGCATCGTATCCAACTTCTGCTAACACATTCCAGTAGTGGATGAGGTGCAGCCTTGTCCAGAAGCTTGGGTTTTGGATCTTTGATATAAAGTCTGTGATACTTGCAACACAAAGTATTAATGTAAGTCATTTTAGTATTTCATGTCTTGAAGGAAACTATTCTTCTATTTGCCCCATTCCATCAACCTATTCATAAACTCCTTAACTACTATGACTTTGGTAGGTCACCAGATAAATGTGAGCCTATCACTCTTAAGCAGTCAAAGCCATTGCCACTCATCTGTTCATGAGGCCGCCTCCTCCAGGCAGGCTCCCTGAATCTACCAGGCAGAGCAAGCCCCTCCCTCTCCCAAGCTTGCCGGCTCTGGGTCTTTGCTCTAGTGAAGCACTGACCCCCATGTGTAGCTCTTTTCTGGCTCCACATACTCCCCACTAGATAGAGCTGCATCTCATTCCCACCTGCATCCCCAGAGCCTACAAGAGCTGGGATTCAGAGTGAGTAGATGATACATGTTTGCCAAGGGGTACATAAGAGGACAAGAAGGAAGGGGGGGGACAGAGAGGGGTAGACAGGAGGGAAAAGAAAGAAAGGGAAGGCAGGGTCTAGCAGGAGAATGTGGTCAGTCCTTTATCCTAGCCCATCTACAAGTCCTCCTTTCTCTGGAATCCTCCTAACTTTGAGAGGAAACCCTGTGGAGTCAAGAAGGGCAGGGAAGGGAACACTCTGAGAGCCAGATGATCAAACAGAGCAACACTAGGAATCCATCAGCCACAGAAGGGGATGCCAAATGAGGGGCCCGTCTGAAGGAATGAACAGGTGGTTGACCAAGTAAGTGAATGAATGTGCCCTGCTTAAGGGAAACGTGGGCATGTCAGCACAGTGCTTAGCAAAGGAAGGAAATCTGCTCAAACGCCACCATATAGAAAGGACAAGCCTTACCTGGGGCTTGAGAGGAAGCTGCACAAGTCCCCCCAGGAGCCACTCATTTTCATGTGCCATGGCAGCTCCTCATACACTCTCCAGAAAGCCGTCTGCCGTTGGAAGAAACGGACTAAGACTCGGTGGAAATGTGTTTTCCTGTGATTCGTTGGATTCTGAAAGGTATATGGACTGCTTTCTCTGACAGGAGTGAGCACACCTATTGACAAATCAATTACAGTGGAATGCATCTGACTTCTTAGTATATGAATACACTATAGCAGATAACAGCTCTGTGGTCATAATTAGATACAATAAACAGGGAGGTTGGAAAAAACCCTGAAATATTAAAAATGTATCTTCTTATAAGTCCATCCGAATTTACCAAAGAATTAGTTACAGTTATGATCACTGACCCAGATTTTGAAAAGCTAGGGAGCATGCTCATTTTTCAGGCTCTCTTCCCCTCCCCCCAAGAAATGTGTGTAACCTACTTTTTTCTATTTTAAATATACATCATGGTTGCCACCTACATAAGCACTTTCAAATATGTGAGGACAGGCAGTTTGGAGAAGTTAGTCTGCACCTGGGTCTTACAGAGGCCAAGGGGAAGCTGAGCAAACTAATGACAAATTGGACACTACAGCCAAGATTACTATATTTTCACCACCAGAAGTGATTCCAACAGATCATACTACCCAGAAACGAGCTCCTTAAAAACAAAACGGTTTTGTTGCATTAAAAGCTTAGAGATACTTATCCTTGAAAGGCAAAAAAGAAGTATTTTAAATGTTCTGCTTGAAGCTTTTCCTCCAAGATGAATCACTCTGCTGGATGGCCCACCAAGCCCAGCTCTTCATAAGAGCCATAATAGAAGGTGAGCCCATTGTTCTGCGTTTCCATTGGAATGAATTCCATGTTTTCTACATGCTTGGAGAGACTTCATGCTAGCTGGTGGCATGTAGAGTGATTCAGAAACCCATGGAAGAAGAAGGAAACTCCCCTCTTCCACTGAGCAAGGCAAGGGCAATTTTGTGGGTCATAAATAGGGAAGGGGGTTGGGGAATGAGAGAGAAAGAGAACTGGGACAAATATCACCCTGCATCCAAGATTTAGAGTATTAAACACAATACTTAAAGTGCACAGAACACTGTCATAGAAAACAGAGTTTATCTTTTTACAAAATAACCTTGTGAGATATGAAAGGATATGAAAATCTGTGATTTTCCCATGTAATTTTACATGTCAACTTTACTGGACGAAGGGATGCCCAGAGGGCTGGTTGGGTATTATTTCAGGGTGTGTCTGTGAGGGTGTTTCTGGAAGAGATTTGCATTTGAACCAGTAGATGGAGTAAAAATCGCCCTTACCAGTGCAGATAGGCATCATCCAATCTGCTGAGGGCCAGAATAGAAAAAAGGCAGAGGAAGGCGAGCTTATTCTCTGCTGGAGCTGGAATCTCTGACTTCTCAGAGCTTCTAGTTCTCGGACCTTTAGACTCAGACTAGAACTTACAGCATTGGCTCCCCCGGTTCTCAGGCCTTGGACTTGGACTGGAACTCTACCAACAGCTTTCCTGGGCCTCCAGCTTGTAGATGGCAAGATCCTGGGGCTTCCCAATCTCCATAATCATGTAAGCCAAACCCTCACAATCTTTTTCTAGAGATCTATATAGAGATATATATAGAGAGAGATCTAATCCTATTGGTCCTGTTTCTCTGGAGAACCCTGGCTAATCCAATCCCCATATGACAAACAAAGCTACTTAAACTCAGAGGGAGCAGGTGCTTGGAGAGACTTCATGCTAGCTGGTGGCATGTAGAGTGATTCAGAAACCCATGGAAGAAGAAGGAAACTCCCCTCTTCCACTGGGCAAGGCAAGGGCAATTTGTGGGTCATAAATAGGGAAGGGGTTTGGGGAATGAGAGAGAAAGAGAACTGGGACAAATATCACCCTGCCTCCAAGATTTAGAGTATTAAACACAATGCTTGAAGTGCACAGAACTTTCAGTCTAGCCAGCCCATGATTGAAGAAGCCAGATTCAAACCTTCTGACTCAATTCCAGTGCTCCTCCAATTGCATGAGATGTGAGGAATGGCTCGAGCACAGCATCATCCGTACATACAAAGTTCAGTACAATCCTCACAGACAGACTGATTGGCTGACATTTCTGTAGTATTGTTCTCTCTCATGACAGGCTAGATTATGCTGTGTGGACAGATGACCCCAAAATCTCAGTGACTTAAAACAGCAAAGGTTTATCATGCCATAACAGGTTGGCTGGACCTCCAAATCCAGCTCTGCTCACTCTGGGACTGAGAGACCAGCCACCATCTTGAACATTGTCAGGAGCTCCAACCATTGGACAGAACTGGTCACAAGATGCCACCCAGTAAAGGGACTGGGAAGTGCTTCCCATGGTGGGTGGAGGGGCTGGAAATACTGGCAATTGGCTGTCATGGCCACCACAGTGGTTATCACTGTGCCAGATACTACATTAAGTACCTTACATTAAGCATACTGAACATTTTTAATACCCTCAAGGTAAATACTGTGATTATCCCCATTTTGAAGGTGAGACACTGAGTCTTAGAAAGTTAAGCACCTTTCACAAGGTCATGCCAATTCTGTCAGATTCTAAAGTCTTTGCTCTTAACAAGAAATTGTTTATAATAGAAGCCATGGTGATTGCCGGTAGGAAAGAAGGTAGACTCTACCAAACAGCATACAGGCCTGGGAGTGAGGGAAAGACCATGAAATGAGGCTGCTCCTCTACCATGACCACAGCATCACCTACAGGTAGCTCATAACTCTTCTCCTGTGCTCAGACCTCCAGATCCTGATTCCACTGCAGGCAAACACTAGAGACTGACATTTAGTATTGGCTCTCAAAACAATGGATATGGAAGCTTCTAGAAACAGCAGGGCCAAAAAACCAACTGTCAGGAACAGCTGTGCATTCATTCAGCAAACATCTATTGAATGGGGGTGCCTGGGTGGCTCAGTTAGTTAAGCATCTGCCTTCGGCTCAGGTCCTGATCCCAGAGTCCTGAGATCGAGTCCCGCATCAGGCTCCTTGCTCAGTGGGGAGTCTGCTTCTCCCTCTCCCTCTGACCCTCCCCCTGCTCATGCTCTCTCTCTCTCTCTCAAATAAATAAGTAAAAAAAAAAATCTTTAAAAAACAAAACATCTATCGAATGTAACTGGAACAGGGCCCAGGGAATTCAGACCTGCTTAAAGGTATCTGATGAAATGGAAGAATCCTTAGACCAACAGAATTCAAAACCACCAGGTGATTTGCATGGGTCATTTTGGGAAAGATGGTAGATAAAAGGCCACAGGGGAGACAGATGAGTCAAACAAAGGGAGAATTCATAATGGCTAACATTTCTCAAGAATTTACTACAGGCCAGGCCTACTCTAATTACTTATAATTACATGAATTAGTGATTGAATGCTTGCTTACTAGTAATAATGCTCTGAGGTTGGTTCACTTATTTTACAAAAGAGGAACCTGAGTACAGAGTGATGAAATGATGTAGCCAAGTCTTCAGCTAGAAAGTAGGAAAGCCAAGGCTCTCCCCCAATCTAGCATCAGGACCCCATTTTTACCTGTTATGCTACGCTGACTCCTTCTGCTCAACAATTGCTGCAAAGTGGGCTTCATAGACTGGGTTTCGGAGCTTTTATAGGGTGAGGGGTTCTAAGAAGAAAAGGAAGGGGCTCTTTCCAGGAAGAGCTCCCTGAGATCCTGAAGAAGGACAGAGTTTGGGAGAGGAAGCTTGTATGGCTCAGGTCTCCTAGAAGACACCTATTCCCCCTTTGGACAGCAGCACCATCCTGACACCTCGAGGTCTGGCTGCCATGGGACAAAGGGAGAGGGACCTCAGCAGGAGGCTTTGTTTTCTCACGGTGAGCCTCACAGGGGCAGTTGGGAGGTGCCCACATCAGTAAGCACAAACCAGAAAAGCCTCTCTGGGATGACTACAGCCAACAGATGGGGGAGGCCATGGAACACGGCTCAGGGACTCCTACAGACACCCGGAGCAGGTGAGGACTTTCTAGGAGGCGGGTGGAAACCAGAATTGAAATGACCTAGCCTAGTCGGAGGATGTTCTCTATACACAAGAAATAAAGGAAATGATGTATGTGAAGTGGCTGGCACAGCAAAAGCACTAAATAAAAAGTGGTGGCCGTGATGGCCGGGGGCGACAAGCTACGCTAACGATCTAGAAGCACTAGAAGAGCATCTCCCAGCTTTTCGGCTCTCCTCCCTAATTGCCCTTTTCCTTTCCAACCCCACTAATATGCATGCATGCACACATGCACACGCACATGCGCACACACTCACACACGGGCACCCCCACACAAAGTATGCAAGACCAAAGAATCCTCAGCTCTAGTACCAGAAGGGAAAGAGGTTGTTCTATCACAGCCCAGGGATCAAAGCATGCCTCTAAAGCGTGTTTGATAGGAGCAATTTGAATTGAATTCAAATTGAAACAAATTGAATATAATACCAGACTATTAATCTCAAAGGAAAGGAGCATGCATGCACATGCTGTGACTAAGAGACTAGTTTGTCCCAAAATGATGTCAAAAGATAGCCCTTTACCAAAAATATCATCGCAGACTCAAGTCCTCTAGCCCTAGCTTTGGGATCATTTTTCTCCTTGTAGTTTGTGCTTGCTTCCCATGCTCAGGCCACATGGAAGTGAATTACTGCAATTACAATTCCCTGGGCCTCCAGGAAAGATGTATTCACGTCCTGATTCTACAGCATGACAAGTTGGGGTTTTTTTTTCTGACAATAGTGAGTATTGCCAGCAGTGCTTTATTTTGGGGCTCACAGTGCAGAGAAGGGGTACACCCTATACCCAGAATTTAAACAGCCACGCCACGGCCCTTTCGTTCCTGCACCTCCAAGAGTGTTACTGTTCTTTGGGAAAATGAAGAGCCCGGGTGCGCTGCAAACCATCAGAGGCCAAGTGAACAGAGGAGCTGACATCACACCTAGGAACATCCTCATTCCTCACCCTGCTCTCTTTGCCACATTATGTAACTTCAGAGGTGGTGGGAATGATGACAATGTAGGAGGGAAACAGTGGAAAGGATTTATCTTTTTAAAAAAGAAAGTGAAAGAGGACATAGTAAACTTAAAAGGAAATTTGTGCAGAGCTTAGCATCTTTGCAGAGGCTGTGATTTAAAGGTTTTTTTAAGTCCTCACACCTGAAGTTCTCTGTATGAATAGAGTGCTCTGCCTCTAGGTCAAGTGTCTGTGATTGCCACCGTGTCTCAGATTCAGACCTGCTGTCCTTTCAGAGGGGATAGAATTTGATTTCAGAATTAGGGCAGAGACTGCTAATGCCTACCCAGTAACGACGTCCCTCATCTTTGTTAGTGACAGATGCCCACCGTGGTTTAAGGTTTAGGCAAACATCTGTTGAAACCTCCATTTGCCAACTTCCCTGTATCTAGCGGTGCCCAAACAACAGAGTTCTGGAGACACAGTGGAAATGTTGGTGGAAACCTGGGAAAGCTCTTTAAAAGTAAATGCAAGCCCTTCTTCTTCTCTTCATCCTTCCTGCTGACCGAAATGCAATGGCTGGAGCTCCAGCAGCCATGCTGCTTCCAGCAGTCACGAACAGGAGGTGACCTTGAGCAGGCAAGCTAGTGTGTGGATCAGGGACACAAAAGGAATGGGGTCCCAGATGGCCATGTGGAGCCAATAGGATAACCTACCTCCAGAAAGTTCTCACGTGAGAGAATAAATCCTGGGATGGAAGCCATTGATGTCAGGTCTCTGTTACTCACAAGCAGGTACAAGTATTAATTTATATCACCACGTTTATACATGTTTATAGATTCACTTCTACTTGAGAAATGCCAGCTACAAGTTTTCCCTTGCATGCAAACTTCCCTTTTCTTAGCTAGCAGGTACTCACACAGATTCAAGCCTTACCAAGAAGCTTGTGCTCCACAGCATTCCGCAGGGACTGGTGCCTGAAGTGCAGGAGGCCATTAGGCTTCTCCTGGACCCAGTGTCTGGTGGCATTGCGGAAGGCAGCCCAGTGCAACGTGGTCACTTTGTAATGATCTCTGTAGCCCAGCATGTCCAAAATCTGGAATATCTCATCCTCAGTCAGTCCACAATGTGAGATGCTCAATAAGCACAGAGCATCGACCACCCAGCCATCCAGCACTGTTAAGACAACGTAATGACAATGATGACAAAAAGAAGAGTTCCCACCTGCCAGGCATCATTCTAAATGTTTTTGTTTGTTTGTTTGTTTTAAGATTTTATTTATTTATTTGACAGAGAGATAGAGAGCAAGTAGGCAGAGAGGCAGGCAGAGGGAGAGGGAGAAGCAGGCTCCCCGCCGAGCAGGGAGCCCATTCTAAATGTTTTATACGACTAACAACTTTTCTTTTAATCATCCTATAAGTAGATACTACCTAACTCTCCTGTCTTACAAATAAGACAAATAAAGCACAGAGAGGTTAAATAACTTACCCAGATCACACAGAAATAAGTGCAGAATGGGGATTTGAGCACAGACAACCTGGCTTCAGAGCCCAGACTTTCAGGCATTAAGTTATCATCTGTATTGTCCCAACTAATACATCCATGCGAGCTACAGTTCCAAACTGGCAAGCTGGCCCATTATCATACCACCAAGCAGTCTTACTTGAGATTTGCAGACATCAAATTTGCATGTATGGGTATGAATGGCTTTTCTGTACGGTTGCTCTCTCGCCACATTCACAGATACCCCTTGAGGCAGCTATACCCTTGACTCACCTGACCCTTAGATTTTTCAGCCAGAGCTGCATTTCCCACTGGCTTTATGATGAACCAACTCAAAAGAGACCCTTAAGGCCATTGAGAGAAACGACAGGGTCTGTCATTCTAAATGGACTTCCTGTACTAGGATTGGGGCATGCATCCCAAACATCTGCAATCGTTAAGCAGAGGCAGCTGCTCAGCCCTAGCTGTGCAAGCTTCTTCTGAGGTTGACCCGAGTTTGACCAAGTTCTTCTTGGACCTGTGGCTGAGTGCCCTGGACTTGAGGACGGGTCAGTGGGCAGTGCTAAGAGGAGGAAAGTCAGCCAGGAAAAGGAGTAGTCCCTTGGAAGAAGGCGACCTGGGCTTTCCTGCATAATGCTGGACAACAAGGGACAGCCATGGGTACAGCCATGGGTCACTTTGCCTGCGTGACCCTTCTCAGGGCACAAAGACCTTTTTTTCACCTCCTTGCAGGTGGGGGAGGGTACACTAAATTTGCAATCAATTTTATTTGCAGAAATGCATACTCTAGAGCAAAAAATGGGGCAGGACAATATGTTGTCATGCCAACGAATATATCTCTCAGTCCAAGCATTTTCTGCTTCTTTCCCCACCCCCACGTCCCCATCCCTGCTCCATTCTAAATTCATCATCCTTCAGAGAAGGTTATTGTAGCAGAAACTCAAGTTTCAGACTTCTGAAGCTCATAGCAGAGATAACAGCCTTGAGAATAAACTTTCCTTCTCAAAAGACTGACTCTTGAATATCAAAAAACAAACTCCTGGGGCGCCTGGGTGGCTCAGTCGTTAAGCGTCTGCCTTCGGCTCAGGTCATGATCCCAGGGTCCTGGGATCGAGCCCCACATCAGGTTCCCTGCTCGGCGGGAAGCCTGCTTCTCCCTCTCCCACGCCCCCCGGCTTGTGTTTCCTCTCTCGTTGTGTCTCTCTCTGTCAAATAAATAAAATCTTTAAAAAAAAAACAAACTCCTGACCAACTCATGGAATAAATTTTTTAACCACAAACAACAGACTCAGTTACAGGATGAGCTAAGGAAGACTGAACCAAGAAAGGTGGAGGAGACAGTGAGGAAAGAGTGCAATGGAGTTGCTCAGGTGGGTTTCTGTGAAGGGGCCTGTGCCGTCCCCGGAACCCAGGCTGTGAGCAGGGAGAGAGGACCCACCAGACAGACGCACTTGGGGACCCAAGAGTACAGAGAGCCTGCACTCTGCTTCCCATTGGGAGCCTAGAAGACAGCAGCTCTGCAGATCTCCCGATGCCCTCAGAACCAGACAGCAGAAATCACTATGGGGAGACCTACAGAGCCAGGAGCTCCAAGCGTGCAGTGAGCAACCAATGTGCTCTGTCAGGAATGTTCAGTACCCACAAGACTGTAGGCTCCAGAAGGGTGCAGATGTTAGTAGAGGAGAGGGGCCTCCTCACATTAAGATGAGGGAAAGTGGTGGCTGATGGCAGCGTAGAGCAAACAACTCAAGAACAGATGGGAACACAGGTGTCTTAGAAGATCCCAAAATTGGAGGAACGTCAGTATCTGTGGACCATCTGGGGCCATGACCACCTCAGCGGAAGACAGCAGGGACAGATGACAACCGAGGACACCCAGCAGCAAGGCCCTCAGATTTAAGCTCAACCCAAAAGAGACGCAGGAAGGACACAAATCCTCGCTTGACTGAAAAACACCCTGAATTGTCCGAAAACAAGCTTATTTGATGGAATTAACCTAGATTAACTGAATTAGGTTTCTGCCATCACTTGGACTATAGGCTCAAAAGAATTGAGTTATAGAAATAATAAAGGCCGGGGTGCCTGGGTGGCTCAGTCGGTTAGGCATCCAACTCTTGGTTTTGGCTCAGGTCATGATCCCAGTCCTGAGATTAAGCCCTACATAGGGCTCTGGGCTCCGCACAGAGTCTGCTTGTCCCTCTCCCTCACTCCTCCCTCTCTCCCTTTCTCCCTCATTTTCTGTCTTGCTCATAAATATTTTTTAAAAAGAAAGAATAAAGGCCCATTTCTTAGACTCCTGAAAAATGTGCCTAATACAATTCTCTTTACAGTCAACACAGAGCTCCCTACACAGGATTGTTGGATTTAGCAAGTTAAAATACAGAGCATGCAGTTAAATTTGAAATTCAGATAAACAACAAATTGATTTTTGGTATAAGTATAGCTCATGCAATAATTTGGGATATACTTCTAATGGAATTATTTATCTGTAATTCAACTAATTTTTAATATAAGTATGTCCCATGCAATAATTGAGGCATACTTTTACTAAAAGATTATTTGTTCTTTATCTGAAATTACAATTTAACTGGGCATCCTGTATTTTCTCTGAAAACTTTATCCTTAGACCCTCCTCCTCTGGGTCATCCACCATATATCTTTCTCCCCATGGGCTCCAGCTGGTTGTCAACACTGGCCAAGGCCTACCTTCTCCTGAAGCCACTGTGTCTGAATTGGCCCTTTTTGGTATGAAAGTCCAGCTATAGTCTTCAATCCAGCGTTTCAGAATCAATTCCCAGAGCTCCTGAATGGAGACCACCTCCAAGTACTCCTTCAGACACTGATACTCATCTCGGTAGATTCTACATTCTCTCAGCTCATTTGCTAGGATTGTGAGTTTTAAAGGGTTCAGGTGCGTTCTTTTCCTCAAAGTGTGTTTGCTCTGTCGGAGCGGATCTTTGTTGGGAATGAAGAGATACTGTTGAAAGATGTTTAGTTTCACTTCTTCGTCTCCTACGCTCAGGAGCTCCACTGTCCTCACATCTGGGCGGGCACACAGCGACTTGTACGACAGGCTGGAGGAGACAGTGCTCATGATAAATTTGCAATGAGGAGGCAGTAAGCATGGCAGCCAAGAGAAATCTTTTACCTGATGGAGAAAGTCAAAGACATTGGGAATCTTTAAAGACTTTAAAACTACCTTGCTGATGGTTTTTAAACTTAGAGTAGCTGGAATAGAGGGAGTAGGTACAGCGTAAAGGCTGGGGTTAAGGTTATTAACAGTAAGTTGGATAGCAAACAATATGGTGATTAAGAAAATACCCACTCTCACCCCACAGAACTGTATTTGACTGACTCATCCATCTGTTTTGAATTTGATAGTACAAATATGACCCCTAAAAAGAGATTCCTACAAACAAGTGATCCGACAAATCATGGGCTTCTGAAGAATGACCTACAGTGATGGCCAAAGGAAACCTAACAGTACAAACTGAACCATTTGACTGAAAAAGAGAACACTGTTTTATGCTGAAGAATCGTTGCTTTATACCACAATACTATCGTAAGTAAATGGCTTTATTTCGGAATAAAATAAACACCTAATCAGATCTTTTTAGATTCCTTTAACAGCTTTTCCCACCCCTCGCAACTACCATAATAATAATAAGAGCAACTATCAAACACTGACCACTTACTCTGAGCCTGGCACCTTGTGGAATGTGTCTTCAGGTACTAACTGTATTAGTTAAAGATTTTCATTTTTTGTGTCTTCTGATAGTTTGCCATCTCTCAGGGGCCTTACAGATCCAGGAGAAACTGCTCCTCCCAAGACAAGTTAATTCCTGGGGGTGATGGACAGCTTGCCTGGAACATGCCTGTCATGTGCAGACCAGCCAATCCAAGACCACGCCCCCACCCGCCTTCCAATCTACCCCTCACTCACCAACCCAGTATTTCTTTTTTTTTTTTTTTAAAGATTTTATTTATTTGACAGAGAGAGATACAGCGAGAGAGGGAACACAAGCAGCGGGAGTGGGAGAGGGAGAAGCAGGCTTCCCG